GGGGGACAGGCCGATCTACCTCTGCCGGTGCCACCGTGTCCCCTCAGTCCGGCCACGGCGGAAGACGCGCCGAGGGGCATCGCCACGTTGAGCTGCCGGGACCCGAGAGGTGAGAAAGGGGAGAAGACGGGGGAGAGAGGAAGAGGTGCTGGATGCCCCGCGCTCATCTTGGCCTGGGTCTCAGGCGTGGTAGGGGGAAGCCCAGACCAACGATTGCCGTGGGAGGCGGGCCTGCGTCGGGGTTATTCCTTGGGTGGGCGGGTGTCGGGGCAGGGCAAGTGGCACCCCACCCCCTTGTGATCTGGACCGCGCTACACCCCACGCATCTTGTGGGGTGCCCTCGCACCTCTCAGATATGGAACTACTGTTGAGCCACCTCGAATCCAGATATCTGGAATATGGACCAAGGAGATATGAGCCACCACCACCTTGGACAGGTGGGGAAACTGAGGCTTGGTGAGGAGCGAGGACTCGATTATCTGGGTTATTAAAATCACACACCTGAGGACTGGCCCGTGGCTCACTTGGGAGAGCGTGGTGCTGACAACACCAAGTCAGGGGTTAGGATCCCCTTATCGGTCATCTTTTATATAGGAAAAAAAAAAAAAAAAAGGAAATCACACATCTGGTAAAGTACAAAATCAGGACCTGTACTTCTTTCAGACTTACGCACTAAGTTGGAATTCTTTCATTGGATGGATGGAGACACTGAGAAGACACAGAAAGGGCTAGGGCCTCACCTAAAATCACACAGCATTTGCAGATCTAGGACTTGTATCCATCTCTCTCAAATTCGTAGAATGTCAGACTGGGCCCCTTCCTTGTACAGATTGGGGACCACAGTGAGGAAGAAGCATTCAGAATTTAAACTCCTTTCTGACACCCATTTTGATACCTTTTCCCCCCTCTTTTTCCCATGGTTCTTTATGTGAAATCTAGAACTAACATGATATTCAACATTGTGTTAAGCAGAAATTCTTGTTTTTAAACATTTAATCAATAAGAAATGGAGGGCCAAAGCTGTTGGAAAGAAATTAGTTCTTTTTTTTTCCCCCTTTCAGGGATCTCAAGGCAGGAGGTGGCAAAGGACATAGACTGATAGCTATCATTTATTGAGTAAATGTTATATGCCAGGCCCTGTGGCTAGGTGCTTAACTTGTGTTAACCTTACAACAACCCTGCAAGTTAGGTGATTTTACAGGTCAGAAATTGATGCTGAGTAAAATGTTTTTACCCAGTACCATACAGCTGCTGAACAGTGTAGGTGGGATCTGAATAAAGAACTGTCTGACTTCTGGAACACACCCAGTGATTCTCCAAATGTGGCCCTAAGCTCACTGGCTCAACATCACTCAGGATGCAGAGTCTTGGATATCTCATTCTTGGATTTGCAAAAGCGGGCCTAAGAATCTGCATTTTAACAGCTCTCAGTGTTTGAAAATCATTGTACTGTAATATGCTGCCTCCTAGGGGAAGATCTAGAGATGAACATAATCAGTGCTTCAGAGATCTCCAGACTGGATTTACTAGGGGTAATTTTTGAGACTAGACATCACACTTTTAGTGAGCATAACCCCTCAGACAGATGCTTGCCAAAGTGTAATTTCTTGACAGCAGCTTGGCTGTGATATGTGGGGAAGAGGAGAGGGAGTTGGTGAGTTAGATAAGAATGGGGAAAGTAACTCCTTTTTCCTTACCACACAGCTGCTAAACTATTGTTATCCAATCATTCAGCAAATACTTAAGCACTTATTAGGTGCCGGTTATGGTTCAAGGCACTGGAGATGCAGCTTTAAATAAAACAAGGCAAGTCACTACCCTCATGGGAAAGACATACAACTAACAAAAAAGTAAATGTATAGTATGGGATGGTAAGAAGGGCCATGGAGGAAAATAAAGCTAAGCAAAGGGGATAAGAGTGCAAGACAGGATGGGCCCAGGAGGAAGAGATGAGGATGGCAGTGGTGTTATTTTATATATTGTATCTAGGAAGGAACTGGTTGGTAAGGTGTCATTTGAGAACAAAACCTAAAAAAGGGAGGGAGCAATCCATGAATATAGCTGGGGAGCAGCATTCTAGTTAGAGGGGCCAGCAAAAGTATGGAGGAGGCAAAAATTTGCTTGGCTTGTTTGACTCTTTTCTGGGATACTAATTATTCTAACCAAAATGTAGCTACCGGGGTGAATTTTATTTTGCTCCTAATAGAAAAAGAAAAAGAAAACTTACCAATGCATGTGTATAATATGAAATATAAAAAAAATTTTCAGCCTTGAACCTCTTACTAAACCTGCTTCGAGCAGTTTATTACCTTCACTTATTAAAATTACTAATAGGTTAGCTCTCAGTTGGTTAGAGTGCAGCCTTCTTTTTTTTCTGACCGGTAAGGGGATCACAACCCTCGGCATGGTGTTGTCTGCACCACGCTCAACCAGTGAGCGCACTGGCCACCCCTATATAGGATCGGAACCCGCAGCCTCAGCGCTACCAGTGCTGCATAGAGTGCAGCCTTCTAACACCAAGGTCACAGGTTTGGATCCCCATACAGACCAGCTGCCAAAAATAAATAAATAAATAAATAAAACAAGATTACTAGTAGACTCAGAAATGAGTTGAATACTTGGTCACAGATTAGCACTCTGAACTAGCTCCTAAGACTTCTTAGCAAGGAAGCAAATTTGGGGGCAGTGTGGTATCATAGAAAGAGAGATAAACTTGGAAATTGAAAGATGAGGTTTGAGAATTTGGTCCTGCCAGTTGAACAAGTGGCTAAACCTTGATTTTTCTCATGGAGAATAAGAATTCATGAATTTCTCCTGGAGAATAATTCATACTCTGTTCAGATTCATTGCAAAGTCAAATTGGTGATGTATACAAATATGAAATCTTTTTGAAAGCTGTGAATTACTGTGCAAGGAACTATTTAATTATTTGATTGTGGTTTTACATTATTATTTTGTACTATATTATTTTGTCTTAGATTGGGCTTAATACTACAAACAATATGCCACAGTGCTTGTACTACTGATGTAGTCCTCGTGGTGATTCTTTTTGCATTACAGATATAAGTGAACATTGTTAATTGTTTGTGATAACTGGAAAATAAGGAAGTTCTTTTGTCTTTATTATATTTACTTGAAACTTCACATGTTTGTTCATTTCAGTAAACATCCATATATACAAAGTGTGAGGCATTGTGTTAGGTGTTGGGTTATGTAGAAATTAGGATGACTTGGTGCCTGCCTGCAAATGTGCTGTAGCTTGAGAGACATGTTAACTTAAGTGCTAAATAATTATATGTAATGTGTTGGAGAAGCATAGCTTAAGTCCTCCGTATCTTATAGCATTTGAGATGGGCCTTATAGAATGAGAAAGAGGACCAGTATAGATGGAGATAGAAGGAAAAGTCATACCAGACTGAAGGCACAACATGAGCAAAGGCCCAGAGAAGCAAAGGCTGCTTAACATTTTCACGGACTGGTGATTGGAACACTGGTGCATGGAAACAAAAGAGGCAGTTTCAGTTTCTTTAGTAGGGAGAAGACTATACTAATGTTTTTAGCCTATGTTTCATGGGAGTTGGGGAGCCACTGCAGATTTTTGAGGAGTATATCCTAGTGGTTGACATCATGTTGTTAATGAATGCTTCTTTTGAAAGAAGAGGCAGATAGTACAGTATTTAAAAAATGTAGGTAGGTTCAGTGAAGTGTATAAGGCTGAATATGCCTGCAACTTTCAAACAGTTCAGAAAAACAGACAAACCTGTATGTATGGAGAGAAGAGTGCAGAAGTGTAGGTGTAACAAAATGTTAACAATTGATGAATTGTTAAATTGTTAAATAGGTGAATCATGAGTGTACAGGTGTTCCATGTACCGATCTTTGAACTTCTCTGAAGATTTAAGGGAGCGTAGGTGTGAATCAGACAGGCTTGTGGTCAAGTCTTGGTTCTGCTGCTTACAGGCAGCGTGACTGCTGGAAAACTTTTTCCAGACTACACAGTTAACACCTATTCCAGCCTAGATTGACTGAGATTTTTCTTATTATAAGAGAGGAGACTCATTTTTGTAGACAACTTGTTCACATTAATATTGGGTTAATGTTAAGACTTCACGTTTCCACAAACTTTTTTTTTCTTTTTTTTTTTTTTAATTTTATTTTTTGGTACTGGCACATACAAGGATCCAAACCCTTGACCTTGGGGTTATAACATAGTGCTCTAACCAGCTGAGCTAACCGGCCAGACCTTCCACAAAGTTTAGATCTCTAGGCTATTTTTGGGTTGGGTTGACTCTAGTTTGCTTGTAATTAATCTGATGGTATATACACATAGAGAGACTGGAGTAGACTGCCTATCAGAGGAAAAAGGTTAGGAATCAAGATACTTGGGTTCTAGCTCCAGCTGTGCCTTAAATTAGCAAATGATTTCACTATTCTGAACCTTCATTCCTTACCTAAAAGATATGGGGGTTGTCTAGCTCTAAAGATATGGATCTCTGTCTAGCTCTAAAGTCCTTCAGTCCAGGGAAACTACTTCTTAATGACTTAATCATTGTGTGAACTTTTTCAGTGAGAAATAGGCCCATGGTAGGGATAGAGATCTGTGGCTGCCTGGAATCGAGGGCTTCTGACAGACAGGTTGGTTTTTCTGTTGACCCTTACTGCATGTGGTTTTAGATTGTCTTATATATTAGAAGAAGTTACTTAAAAACATGCACACAAACATGCATACCACACAATATTCACAATAGGATGTCAAGTTCAGTTTTAAATGGCTTAGCTTTCTAGGGCTGGCCGGTCAGTCCAGTTTGGTTGATAACACCAAAGTCCAGTGTTTGAGCCCTGTATAAATAGCTTTCTTAGGAAAACCCCAGTATCTGACTGAAATATAAACTGTAATTGAGATGGTGGAGAGGAATGGGCAAAGGGGCATGAAAATCAAGTACAATGTATTTTGAGAAATAAAATAAAATTAAATTAAATTTTTTAAAAAACCAAAAAACAAAAAAAGGAAAGAAAATGATTACGTAATAGGATATAGTCAAGCTAGTCTTTTTACTTTCAGACAAAAATCAGATTTTTTTTATAGCATTATTGTGGTGCAATTGACAT